AGCGGCAACTGCCTTAGAAACGCACTTTTTTTTCACAAAAAAAAACTACAGAATCCTGCAGGGCTGTGGAAACTCGTTAAAATTTGACATTTGTGCAACTGTAACCATCTTTACGGCAACAGAAGGCTTCACACCCAGCATGCAGGGTCAGGTGGCATGAGCAGCCTCAGAGACGCCCAAAGCTGATGCGTATAGGGTCAAAATATGTGAACATATAGCCTTGAAACATCTGAGCTTAGGGCACGCTCATGGCAAAACCGTATCTGGCGATACAAAAGCATTCAAATTTTGAAATGGGAACCCGCCAATGTTGAAGCCCCTTTTTTCCATCCTATCCTATGCCGTTTATAATCTTTGATCCCTGTATGAATCTCTGTGAATCTCCACGACACCTTGATATTTTCCCCTGAGCAACCGCCTCCTCCGTGCAAGCGAGGCTTCCTCGGCATCAGCTGCGAAGACCTGAGGCCAAAAACTGGAAGTTTCTGAAAGAACCATCATTTAAAAATAATAAAACGACACACATTATATATATATTTTTTTTTTAAAAAAAAAAACTGTTAATAACAATACTTTGCCCTCCTTTTCAATTCCAGATCAGAGGTGCCCGACAAACAGGTCTTCATCAGCCGACTCGCCTGCAAGTTTCACAGAACTCTGCCAAGCCAATCTGATCATTCATGCCCTCTTGCCGCATGCCTTATCCAAGTCGAATCAAACAAACAAGTTCAATTGGTGCAGTGTGAAGAAAACAATGCCCCTCTTGTACTGAATTGGTTTGATCAAAGGCTCTTCCGGTCCCTTGTCGGACACGATGCAGAATTGAAATGTCACCGTTTTTCTCCGCTGATAGTGCTTGAACTTTTGGGATTTGGGGCTGCAAAGCCTTATTGGTTTCAGTATCAGAAGATATCAGGAGCTTTATTGAAGAATCCTGCTGTGGATATCCTGGACCAAAATCCGGTTCTGCTTCAAAGCGGGCGAACTATTTCTGCATCCTCAATGATGAATGATGCTAAATCACACCCACTGAAATATCTGCCCCTCCATGCACACCACATATCCATGGTTTTACTCGGTACTGTCTCAAGCCTTCGCTGTTGCTCTCGCTCCTGGCAATCGATGGCGGTTTAAATTTCTTGGCCACAACTGATGGCAGGCTGCTTGTGTCTTTCGGCTACTTCTTAACGTTCTTAAACAGCATGGTTCTTCCAGCTGTATTCCTTCATCTTCTTGGCGCATTCGATGCGTGTGAGGGTGCGTGACAGGTGTGGGGCTCGGGAGCCCCACGCGCCCCCCCCCCCCTCGTATGATCATGGTCAGCCGCGTGGTAATGGATAGGTGTGGATGGTGGGGTGAGAGACGGCAGCGCGTGGGTAGACAGTGTGGGAGCGGCGTGGTTATAGGGGAAGGGGTGTGGAGCGTATTCGTATCATTCATGATATTCATGCATCATATCCATACATGTATGTATATATAAAGCATCATATATACATACATGTATGCAGTATGCATATACATCTAGTTATATAGTATGATTATAGTATGCGTATACATGTGTAATCATGTAGGTATATATATATATGTGTGTGTGTGTGGGCGCGCATTATTTGAACAAACATGAACAAACGGTCTCTCCTCGTTGGCATGATGTGTCGGAATCAAGTACTGTACTATACATACTGTACTCTACCCCGACTGTCTATGCCAAACTTTTTTTGGTGCTCTGGTCTCTTGGGAAAATGATCGAATAGTTCTCTCTGTATGAAATTTGCCGGCATATCTTGGGCCGCCACCATCACATAAAGCTAGCAGCTATAGCAGCTAGGAATCTGCCAGCCTCGCACTCAGAATCTGGCCATCTGCCAAATTTCGCAGCCATCCTTCTTTTTCCTGGTCGACGTACGAAGCGTCTGACCCAAACAAGACACGGCAAACATCACTGCCGGGCCGTTTAGGGCCGGGAGCCATTGGCCTGTTAGAAGCAAAGTCCGTCGCCTTCGTTTGTGCGTTGTACAGGGCACCACTCTGGTCCGCCAGAACCTGAGACACTGAGCAACAAGATGTATGGATCAATCTGGCAATATGTCCATAAATTACCACAAAAATGTTCGTTCATGTACAGTAGTTCATTCAGGCCTTGGTTTGGCCACAAAACCTGGGAATGTGGCTAGCGGCAGCCAGGTATAGTCCCACCTGAAGCAGCTTTTTTTTCTCTCTCCTTCTTGGCGGAATCTCTGCGTTTTTGTTGTGCTTGTGAAACGTTTAAACTGAAAGGTTGGAACAGGGAACAAGGTGATTCAAGCATGCATGTATTTTGACTCAAAACAACTGCTACAGCACCCACACAGCGACATCCAGAGGCAAGTCTTCACTATCAAATCTATCAAAAACCGTACAAGACTGATCTGAGGTTAGGGCGCCCCCGACTAAACCCCTCTGTTCAGCAGTTTTATTTCATTTCAATTGCTCTGCATTCAGCACATGTCAGGAAAGTGGCTTCTGCATGCTTACCATGCTTACAGTATACATATGATTATATATATCGTATCATGTGATGTCATGCCCCTTTCCTTTTCCTCACCCTGAGGCACATGCCCCTCCACGCAAGAGGAACCTGCTGGAGGTGCAAGAAAATCAAAGCTCAGGTTGACAGGTGCACTCTCAAGGCGGTGGCAGAGGCACACGCAGCATCACACAGCCCACCTCTCTCTCTCTCTCTCTCTGTCGGGCGTGACTGCCCGCAGCCGTCCTATGAGGACGCCCCAAAGAAACCCACCTGCATCCATCTCAACTACGACGCCGTCGACATGGCCCTGCACTCACGGCGCGTTAGGTTGGGCAATGTTAGGCAGGAACCTTGTGGATTGGCGATGACCTTGATGAAATCCGCCGGCCTGCCGGCGTGTCTGATTGGAGGGTGTTCTTGTTTCTGTTCTTGGTTTGTGCTTGTTTCTGTTCTTGGCTTGTACTTGTTCCTTTGTTCTCTTGCTGCGCGTTTTTGCTTCGTCTGAATCAAGGTCACCCCCCCCCATCCCCACCCCCCTTACTCCTACTCCGACGCCTACTCCGACTCCGATTCCTCTACTCCTCTACTCCTTCCTCCCTTCTTCCCCAAGTACTACCTGGTAGTGCCGGTAGCTAATGGCATTGCCTACAGCATTACCGTCGTCTACAGCTACTCGTCACAGGACGCAACGGTACTGATCGACTAGTACTCATTTGGTATGCGTTCCGTTGGTGGTTCAAGCACGCACTTGCTACTCAAGCTGCTTCTGATCTATGGCTCTGTCTTCGTCTCTTCTTCTCTCAGGCTTCCACGTAGCGTGCACGTCAACCTCCCTTGGGGCAATCTCTCTCCCCTGTCTCCTTCCATGCAGCGGTCTGCTGTCAAGACAGAGGCTCATACATAGTACTTGGCGCTACTTTGCTGGGGCGGTACTAATTTGGTATACGGTCAGTAGGTTTTACGGCTTTGTCTTCGTCTTCCTTTCTTCTTCTTCTTCTTCTTCTTTTTCTTCTTCTTCTTCTTATATATTATATTATTGTTCTTCTCCTTCTTTTCTCTTCTGCTCTCTCTCGGGCTTCCACCTAGAATGCACATCAAACTCCCTTGGGGCCACCTCTCTATGGCCGGCGGGCTTGCCGAAGGCAATTGAATACTTTCTTTTGTAGTTCTTGCTGGGCAGGTCGACTTCCCAGATCTGCCCAACAACTACATTGTATAAATTATATATAAATTATATATGTTTCATCATTTTATATCAATGTATCATAATGTATCGTATCAGTCTGGAGGAGCGTTGGCCAAATCGCATTGAATCCCTGGTGACTGGGAGGGTAGGCCAGGTGTGCACGGTGTGCACAGTTCATGTTGGCATAGACTTTCGCAAATCTCCTCACCATCTATACCATCCATATCCATCCATGATCATCCATGCAAATGCCGCTTGGTGTTGGCCTATCTGATTGGCACTGCCTTGCCTCCACATAAAGTGACAGGCCCAACTTGTCAACAATGTCTCTCGTCTTCCAGAAGAGCTGCAAGACCTCGGCCACGCTGGAGCTTGACAGCCCTGGGCCAGAGAACTTCTTGGCTTAGCCCCCCATGATATCAAAGCCAAGCATCATGCAGCATCATAGTCATCCAAAAGTGATTTGTTTGGTCTCGCTTTTTCTCATATTCGAAAGCAACGAAAACTTGACACGGCAAGGCACTCACTTTTCCTCACTTGATAGCTAGCTCGAAATCATGGGGTAGCAGCGTCAAATGGACTGCATTTTAGGGCAACCGATGCAAAGTATGACCCGAGAGATGCAGCTCCGAGTGACACATCTGAATATCTCAATCGATTGTGTAAACGAGTGTGAATCCCAGCTGGATTTTTGTGGAATTGTAACGCATGGCTTTTGGAATTCAAGTCTGGCTTGCCTTCGCATGTAAACCCGTTCATCCTTTTTCAGAATTCCGAACCGCCAAAAATCATTGAAGAAATCCATATTTTTGAAAATTGCTACTCAGCATGTTCCAGCTGAGAAAAAGTCTCTAGAGTCGCTACTCTACAAGTCGTCAAATCCATCAAACTGCACTTACATATCTTACATTGTGCACGTGCCTTTTTTTGGTCTAGTACAGCTGGCTTGGAGCTGCGTTGGGGGACATTGAATGCAGGTCGCCGAATGAGAAAATTTCACAAGGAGTCGCCGCTCTGCTGTATCGACAGGCAGAATGCGACACATTTGGGAGCAGAATGATATTTCGGAGATTTCAGATATTCGATGATTTTCTCTGGGCACAGGCCGTGCCGTTTGTAAAGTGGAACCAGTGTCACCTTGACATGACTAGCTCTGCTCAAACACGAAAACAACATACAAGTAAAACAACATCCTTTGCAGATGGGTCTCACCATCTCACGACACAACAATTTCCAAAAGGTGCACGGCACGCGTCATGCTCATGTCTTAGAAAAGTTTTCGCTGGCCAGAGTCTGCCACGAGAATCACTTGCCCTTCTCCAGGTACTTCTCCTTAGTTGGATCAAACCAGAGCGTGGTCTTCGGATGGTGCCCAAACAATGCAGTTCAGTATATACGCGTGTGAGTCAGATTGGCCAACATCTGCAAAAGCTCAAAAAATGCAAGTTGGTTCGTTGTTGCTACCAAGATGCGTAGTATGTAGATCAATAAAGAAAGGGAAAAAATCGAGTTCCCACAAGCTGATGGACTCATGATACTTTGCTGTTGGCAGTGTCTTCACTGCAGTATGAGACATCACAGTATGAGACCTCCTCTTCTTGGCATTCTTGGCAAGCGGTGGCCAGATTGAGCAGCTCTCAAGTTTGGCCGCATCAGTTACCAATACTCTTTTTCCTTCTGCAAAGTCCAACCGGGCTCGCAAACATCATTCCCAGTCCAAGCAGCCACTTGCTGGCACAGCTCAAAGAATCTCGGCCTCCTCTTGTTGGGGAATGGAAACTTCGGGCCTTTGGCCGTGGCAAAGCTTTCCAGAATTTCTTTGGTGGAAGAAACAGTCCAACACCAGAAATTTGCCAACTGCTGGCAACATGTCGCAACATGTCGCAACATGTCGCAACATGTCGCAACATGTCGCAACACTTTGGATTGGGCATATGTTGTGGGATAATTATGTTGGAATGCCAAATGGCAGCAGCGCAGTCAGTGGAAACAATCTGAGGTGAGCACCGTATGAGGTGAAGTGCGATGCCAAGGTATTAATCGCAGAGTACAAGGAGTAGTAGCTTTGCCTTGCTCGAGAGCACAAACAAAACAAACTAATGTTGTTTTTGCCACAATGTCTGCCAAAATGGGGAAAGGGATGGAAAGGGATTCAATGAAAACTTGAGCTACATAAAAACTAGTGGCACGCATGGCATGCCCAGCTGGGGCCGTTCCCAATCCATCTTTCGATTTCTTTGAATGTGCATGTGCAAGATTTGGATTGCATGTACCCACGATGATCCTGGTGTACTTCAACCTCAACCAGCCTGCCCACTGACACATTCTGTCGGCGGTAGATGGCAAGCCAATCATTCATCTCTTTCTTCACGCGAGTATTCCATTTTTCCTGAGCCATTTACAGTTTGGAACATGCTATCAGCATCCATCACCTCTTCAGCTGAAGGTTATGGAGATGGACTATTCTTGCGTCCATTGCAGCTGAAGTAATGACTGCAAACGAACCTTCTTCCCCACTATGACGAAAAAACGATGAGAAGGAAGGGCACGGAAACAAAATGTGGTAAGAGCATGTTACTGTCCATCTGTCCAAAAGCCCCCAGTTCATCCAACTTGACTTGCTCTTGTAAGAATCTGTCCGCAACATTTCCATGGCAAAATTCCACACCAAAGTCACCAAACGTATGCCTTTTCTATCTATGTCGTGTCATGTCTTTGCATTATATATATTATATTTATTATTATTAGTATTAGTATTATTATTCTTATACAGTTTGTCTATTTCTCTTTCACCTGGGATGCGTATGTGGATCGTCTGCTGGGTCCGAGGCCATGTTTGGGGTGCCTTTGTCGAGGGATGCCGAAATTTTCATGTGCTTCATGACCTGAGGCAGGTTCGAAACGGACAGTTCAACATACCATACCTCAACCAGCTGTGACTGTCCAAATCGGTAGCCAAACCATGCCAAACCGGCGATTCTGCCTGGTAGGTGTCTTGACGGTACTTCTGCTTCATGTAGAAAGTCTTATAGTCCTTCACGCGCATCAGCTGAAGCAGGTGGCCTTTTCTGCAACTGTTTCCTACGTTCTTATCTTTCTTGGCTAAAACGTCAAACTTAGATAACGTATGATAACTCAGCTGCACTGTGCCAGTACGGGCTGTTAACACAGGTTTGCTAATGGCTCTTACATTTGCATACATTTGCCATAGGAGTCCATAGGTTTGCTTACTCACCAATCTTCTCCTCGCGCCTCCTTCTTGTCCTCAGGATTCTCCATGCCAATCAGCCTCAGCTCCCAACGCTCAGCTGTGCCAAATCCAACAACTCCAACAACTCCAATGATATCATCTTGAAATATCTTGACAATGCAGCACCAAATAGCACCAAATAGCAAAGTATGCTATGCTAAGCAGCAAGTCTTTTGGACGTTTGCGATGCGTCAACTTGAAAATGCTGGAAATCAGTGAAAAAGGATGCCGCATAGCTTGTTGACAAGCCGAAGGATTCCCAAAAAAAATGTGTGTTTTCATGAATTGAGATTTTGCCAACAGGAGGCTCATATGGATCAGCATTGATACGGTCAGGCAGGTCCACCTCAGAACACTGAGCTCAACAAAGGGAACAAAGATGAACTGCGCTTCAATCGGGAAATATCGGGAAAATGCATGAAAATGCCGTAGTGAGCTAAAAGCCTTCTATATCCTTCTATTCTGTTCTATTATGTTCTATTCTATTCATATAGATTCATATAGTTTGATCGCTGAATTATATCCATTCAGAATGGAGCGCCTGATCATCCCGTCACGTCCCTGGATGTGCAGACTTTCCGAATCGCAGTCTGGCAATCATCCTATGTAATCTTACTGGTCTTACTGTTCCGTTCAAAGAAGCCATCGCACTCCTTCACTCCCGCATCCTCCTAGGAGATTCAACATCTCTTTGCCTGAAAAGTCCGATCATCGAGTCAGTGGTCAACATATCCTTCACCCTCCCTAGTGCCAGGGTCGATTCGGGCATCCGTGCTTGTGGACCAGACAAGGTCTGCCCTGGCATAACAGCTGCAGCTTGTGCATTGGCCGCCTCTCCTGTCGGAAATAGGCATTCTCAAAAGAAAGTGAATATGAATCCTTGGAGGTCTTATGCAGAACTTCCTCGCAGTTTGAACAGTGTTGGGAATATGATAATTAGATATAATTAATTAGGACCCTACAAGTAGGCTTCTCTTGACCTGGCTTCCACCGAAAAGTGACGGCAATCAATTGCATGATGGCAGGGGCGACAGAGCACTTTTTCCTAGTCACCTGTGTGTTCACGGTCCTTTCCCGTGATTCATGATCTTTCAAGACATATCTTGACCATGTCTAAGAGTCTAAGAGCATGATATAGCATGATGAAACAGCAAACACTAAAGATGCGTGCGTGGCCTCCCGACAAGCCGGCAAGAGCAATGAGAACGGGCGCCACTGCTTCGCGACGTCCAGTGTCCTGCACCGCAGGTGCGGCCAGTGTCAAATCATTTGGCATTCGCTGTGCGAATCTGTGCCTATGGATTCTTGAATGGCGGATCGGGATGATTCTTCACAACCATGTCGTGCTGTAGTACAACCATGCACAACCACTGGCCTTCCAGCATCAGGTGCCGAAGACGCAGAGCACATGCACACGTCATGTTTGCACAATTGTACAATACCATAGGAAGATAAATTATGACTGATTTGTGTCTGTACAGTCTATACATAATCTATACAAAATGCGTGAATGTGGGTGGGCGCTTGGCCACTCGGGCGTTTTCACTAGAAAGAACCCATCGCATGTATCGACACTTTAGGATACTTTAGGTACACCAAAATGATGGTAGTTTCCTCGTTCCAACATGTTCCAACATGTTCCAACCCTCCGCTTTAAGATGTTGCAAAATGTTGCCAAGCGACCTTGCTCCGAGGAACTGGCGCTCGCTCGCCCTGAGACCAGCTATGACGCTATCACGGGGCACTTTAGAAACACCAACGAAACACCTAGGGGAATGAAGGATCGGTTGGGAGAGAAACGGAGAGAAGGAGAGGCTGAACCAAAAGAAATTGGTCTCGCCATATGCTGTCTTACAGTCAATAGCATATATCATGATGTATCAGGGGATGGGTTGAAAAAACTGCAGCTCCTTAAACTGAACATGTAAGCTGAGAAAGTGGAAGCTCTCGCCTGCATGTCCGTCATTACTACTGGGCCCGCGCGCCAGAAAACACACTGCACCGCCGAAAGCCAACAGCAATGCTGCCCGTAAAGGTCGGCGGCCTGCCATAAACACAACATAACAACAGCCAGCACTGTTCACTCTTTGATCGGACATTGTGCTCATGTACAGCTTGTAGAGTACACGGCTGGACTAGTGTAAAACTCCAGTGCTGGCCATGCTGATCATATGATGGATGCTTTTCTGAGGCTTGTCTGCACGTCATGTCTGCAATAAAGACGCTCTTTTACAGTAATTGCTGCAACTCCTGCAGGTTTTTGCAAAGCCTTCTGGTTGAGGCTAGCTAATGCCAGCTATCGAAGAGAAACTCGCTGCAACTGCAATGTCTAAAGAGTCTAATTAATGTCCGTCTGTCCAATTTGCTGTCCAATTTGTTGGGATCACCTGAGAGTTTCTGCACCAATAAAAGCTGTCTGCTGTCGTGCATGCAAATCGCTTGGCAACAAGTTTCTCTGCACAAATAAGTTGCCGCAGTGACGCACGGTTAGCTGGACAAAACCTTTGGAGCTCTAGCGAATTGCTAAACACAAAGCCCTCGGCACTCAGGGGCAACGGTGTGCTGTGCATCGTGTCACCCCTTCACTGGCCGAGAGCGCTACCGCAATGCAATCCTTTGATGCTCCATATCAGTTTTGACCTTGCTACCCTCAATGGCCATTCACAGCTTCTGACAATCTGACTGTTTCATGTGGAACAACTTGGGCTGACATGGACAACTGCGACTTGAAATGGTTCGCAGGCAAAGCAGCTACCAGCGACCATTCCTGGACGCTGCATCCACGATTGACTTTCAGAACTCACAAACCTAATCAAACCTAAACATTTAACAAGGCAAAAACATGGGGGAAACATACAATGCTATACAATGTTCAGGTTTCAAAGATTCTACTCATTTATGGTCATGTTACGTTCATGTCACGTGATTCATCTTCCCTTGGGCTTTCATCCATCGATTCAAAAATGCCAGGTGTCTGGCGCCCCACGCAGTGCAACCTGTAACGGGAATCCAAGCAAACCAGTGTCTTCTTGCACATGTGCAAACATAGATGTACGCGGTGTACACTGAATGCGTGTATATATATATATATATATGTATATATGTGCATGTATATATTTATATTATATATATGTGTGTAAATATATATATAAATAGTATACACATGTACGTATGTATGTACGTAGCATGCATGCGTGCATGCATGCATGAATGAATGAATGAATGAATGAATGAATTATCCCCCTCTGGTCTACCCCGGAGGGTCCTGTCCTGGAAAAGGATTAAATGTGTGGGTCGTGACCTTTCTGACATTTTCTGACCATTAAAATCTTACCCTGACCTTTCTAGCTAGAATCCACCTTCCAAGATGAATGAGGCGTGCAGGCACTAACGTCCTCATGCCATCTGATGCCTAAGGTCTCTAGAAAGGCATTTGTTCTCCTCTGAAAACGATTTCCTGGGTGCCAATCCTCATACCATACTCAGATAACCACCCCTCAACATATTAATTTTCTGGGCTCTGAGGATCACATTTACATACGTTAACACGGGGCCTGAAAATCTAAAGCACGGGGCCTGAACGCTTCCAGCTCACGACAAATTCGCATGGGGTCTGTCTGAAGATGAGGTACCCAAGATTCAACCGTTTATCATAGAATCGTGGTTCTTGAAATTAAAAATATGAAAACAAACATTTGGATCACTAGGGGTTTATCCAAATCATCACAAATCATCCCAAATCAATATCACCACAATTTTCATTCGCATTTTTTTTCCGGTTTGCGGAGGAATGGCAAAATCCAATGCGAGCCAACATTCCTTGTCACAAGTGTTTGCCGTTAATTTTGTGGGCCACATCCTTGTCAGAATTTTCGTTTTTCCCCGATGGGACATTAAAGTCCCATCTATGGATGAAGGTCTACGTTGTGTCTCAATTTAAAAGAACTGAGGATTGGCCTGGTGATGTAATTGTTTTCCTGTGAATGCCAATCCTTCAAGATCAACCGAAAGTATGTAGCCCAAAAAAGGTCCCGCCCCCTGGATTTTATTTCTGACAAGTCACTCTTTTGTTGGTGGAGCAGAACACATGTGTTTGTTTCTTTGTCCATATGTGTTTGTTTCTTTTTACAGGGACAACTGTATCTTCAGCGCTAGGAGCATTCCATGGTGGCAAACTTTTACTTCTAACAACTTTTGTAATTACTGAACTTGAGCGCCAGGAAAAAATGACCAGTACGGCCAGGGATATTATTGTCCCAATTATATAATTAGAAGAGACTAAAGACATGTGTGGGGGTACCTCATTTCAGACAGACCTCATTTTCAGTACCAAAAAATAAAATCCTTGTTTCCAACCTTGTGATCAGATATGATCAAATACTGGGGAGAAAAAAAAAAGCTTCAAAATGCTTCAAATAATCATGTGACATTTTTTCCTGGCTTTTGACATCTGTAATTACATGTTTGAATGGACCTGCCCCCCCATGAACAGCGTGTCAAAGCTTTTCTGCTGCCGGGCATTTATACACCAAAGTACAAAAATTGAACCAAGATTGATTTCCTGGGTTCTAAGAGATGTATGCATGTAAAATATGCAAATCCGTGACTTCAAGACTATTAATTTTGGTAGTGGACTCCCAGGAAGAAAACAACCAGTACAGAGGGGGTAAAATGAATGAATGAATGAATGGATGGATGGATGGATGGAAGGACGGGTGGATGAATGGATGCATGAATGCATGCATGGATGAATGAATGAATGAGTGAGTGAATGAATGAATTAATTACAGTATGAATGAATCACATTATGAATGACAGGTTCTATAACATTTGCATCAATACAGGTTAATGGCTATATATATATATATGTATATATATATGTATAGATATTATATGCATTAGTATAGGTTACAAGTGTATACTGAGTATACATATAAAAAAATGAATTCATATGTATACAGTACATGTATATGTATACATAAACATATACAGTGATATATATATATACACATATAATATAATAATATACAATATAATTTAATAATATATATATATAAGTGTGCGTGCGTGACTGTGTTGAGACATTGTATGAATACCACCATGCACGGCCTTGCCTTTGTATGTGTGCGATAAACATGCAAGACAATACAGAGCTATGGGACCCTCTGGCCCCCGTCCATGCAAAATTGCGATTTAGCAAAGGAACCACGATCATGGACGTGAGCTAAATATGGCGCACACAAGGGAACTACTCCGGGTGTGTCCATTCGCTACCACTGCGTCTCCCCCTTTTCCCGTATTTCTACAATTCGTATCAACTCATAATGATATTCTGGTGCTTGCTGGTTGAAAGCATGTTCTCCTTGTGTGACGCACTGTCAACAGTCTGGCCATATCGAAAGGTCAGAGCTATTGCTGCACCAGTATACTTTGGAGAAAGTATTAGAAATGCGCTAACAGCTTCTCTCGGATTCCCGTGTCTCTTAGAGTTCGGTCTTTAGCGAAATTTGCTCAATGAGCTTCATGCGCTCTTTGACCTAAGGGCAATGAAAGCTGGACCATGACAAAAAAAACTCGACACAGTATAGTTGGCAGCACCAGGCAACAATTGTCAATATGGGGTACGTCTTTTGGTTTCGTATTTAAGAACAAAGCAATTCATGACCCAACCTTTGCATGCTGCCATATCATTATGTCATTACAATAGTTTTGTGTCTGATTACACATGTACAATTAATATCAATTATATAATCAATTGTAATATAATATATACATTGAATTCAGTGCACCCTTTGACTCTCATCCGATTCTTAATTCATCTTGCTGATCAGGGACCCACTTGAGAGCATCCGGCTTCATGGAAGCACCATCCTTGTCCACCATGCCTTGGAACTTGCAAGTTGTCGCATATTGCCCTGCTCTGCCTCCTCTCTTCGGATGATTCAACTCATCTATATACTGTGATTCATCCAAGGCTGGACGACTGCAAAGTAAATCAATCAAAAAAACGTCTCTACCTGCCCTTCATTTCTTCGATGCTTCCATTTCTTCTGGGAACGCTTTAAATTGACTCCCAGTCAATGCGGAAAAGCTTGGCCACGTCTATGAAGTCGACCAATGCAAGAGCCAATGAATGATCTACAATTATATAAATTAAATTTAAGTTAATATAAATTATACAATTACTGGTCAATCTTGCCACAATATTTCATATCGTATCTCCAAAAGCCAGATTCCCAAGACGCACCACGATGCTGCCAAGGAGCCCTTGAGACGGGTCAACTGACCCTTGAGATCCTCTTGTGGCTTCCTAGAAGCAATATGACACCACCCGCAACGCTTCAAAGCTCTGTTCAGGGACTAAGGGTTTTTAATGGTTTTTTGTCCAGTGCGATGGGCCACCAGACCAGTCATGAAGTTGCAGAAAGATGCTGCAAAGACAACCTTTAGGTTCCCATCCCCAACATCTAAAGTTTCAAGCAAGCTTCCCAGACCACTTATCAATGAACTTGATCTGCTGCTCAGAGCATCCCGTCTTGTCTGTGGCATTGGCATCACAGAGTGTTGCAAACTCCTCAATCCATTCTTTCATGTAGCTCCTTGGTTAGCCATGAAACCGTCAACTGCATTGTGGTCACTTCAGCGACTTAGTTGTGGCACTTCGACCCACTTAAATGACCAAGATATATAATGAAAAGTTTGCCCTCAGTGTTTGACATTGAAAATTGGAATGAAGCCTCCTGCCCTGACCAAACCAAGCTTCTCTTTGGGACCAAGCTCATCGCACATTGCTTTGCTTGTCTTCTTCGGATATGGCTTACCACCATATCCTGTCTCCTTGTTGAAATAGCGAACTGTGGGCCACCCTCCTGCTCCTGCAATGCAAATCCCTCACTCTGAAAGATTACGAAGTCGGAATAGATGGAAATATGAATGTTGTAAAAAGATTGCGAACAAGTTTGACGTTTCTGCCCACTGTGCGTAGCATGTCAGCACAGATTCCTTGCGGGTTTCCCGATGGACAGCAGTTTGGCATGACTGGTCATCACAGGTTGGGGGCAAAAATTACCCGGTACAGTATTTTACCCAGCCAAATGCCAAACCTACAGTGCCATGAGACCTCTCCTGGATTTTGATTCTCTCCATGAATGGTGCGCACCTCGAAATTGAGTGCGGCGCAAGGTTTCAGGGATAGGACATGATAGGGCTGAATATGGCTGAATGTACCTCGGGATGATCCAACCTGTGGAACAAAACAGTGTGCACCAATGAGGAAGCCTATGGCTGAACTCTGAGCCGATCAAGCATTTTGGGGTGGGGAAGATGAACCCAGCCCTGAGAATGAGATAGCCCAAATAGCTTGGCAGCTCAAAAAGTGCGGCTGGCACAACTGAATCACAAGCACTGCAAGTCAACCAAATGCAAAATCAAAGAAATGCACAATTCATCCACCTACCTACATAAACAGTCTAGTCCGAGTTGACGAAGCTACCGCGAACAAGATCGTGCAAGGTATGTACGCCCGCAATGGTGAAACTGTAACAGGATGTCATGGGGACCTCTTTTGATCCTACTTGATCCTGCGATATGCTGGGTGATGCTGTGTGTCTTCCATCTGAGCGACTTGTCATCTCAACATGTTTCTAATAATATGTTTTAATGTTTTAATTCTTATTTGCTTTAATTAATAAGTTTAATATGTGTGTATCTTATCATGTTCCAATAGTGTTCTAATATGTCCTAATAATATGTTCTGATCTGGACCTATTCGTCTATTAAATTTCGTGCCTGGTTCTTGGACAGCGCCACATCCCCGAAGGCGACGTCAGGATTTTTGCCGAATTCAGCAACGACAGAGTTCCAGCTTGGGGCCTGTTTCACTCATCAGCCTCAGCCTTCTGAGGCGATCCATCGTATGAAGACCTTGGACCATCAGCTTGGCGTGATTTCTGCAGTGATGGTGGTGGTTTGCATGTTTGCAACTGTGATTATTTATGTATATTGTATATATATATATATAACTTAACCATACTTAACCCATAATCTATCTATAGACTGAAATGGATAAAACATGATAGAACGATGTGTGAATATTGTTGAAATATGCCGATGATATGCCGCAGCTCAGGATCAAGGGAATGCTGTGACTATGCTGTAGATGCAGCCATTCTTGTCTGCCATTTGGATACTTCTTAGGATCAACACTTGGCAACATAATCAACATAGGCGACAACACAAAAAATACAAGCATCGCAACCATGCTACAGTGGCAAGTTTGAAGCTTCAACGACAACCAAGGGCCAAAAAAAATGTTGCGTTCAAGTGACAGTTTTTCCCGCGTCCACGTTCTCCTTGACGAATGCGTCGGCTGTGTCGGCGGTGAGCTCGGTGGAGAAATCCCAGTGATTCTCTGGGTAAATCCCCGCCTGAGCGCCGACGAACAAAAGGATGCTGAGCGCTGACGAAACCATGGTGGATATGCCCTGGATATGCCCTGGCTGTGATCAGCCTGGAGCCAAAATGGCTATGGAGATAGCGACCATCAAAAGATGATGGTAGAGCAGAACTATTGATGCTATGCCAAAACTGGCACTTTATGCACCTTACCCAAATAACTGATTTGGGAATATGTGGCAGTTTCTGAACACAGCACGAAGCTACTGCAGAAAAATATTTTTTTTGTGCTCCCATTTGCCAGAGAAAGGGATACCACGTGAATTGGTCTACTTCATTCATCCTAATTACCCCAGTATCATTTGACATTCCTTTCCAATCCTTTACCTTTGACATCCTTTGACTCGAAAGCAAACCATAATGTGACGGGTTTGGTTCCATGAAGACCCAACGCGAATTTAATTGGCTGCCCTGTCTCTGACTAATACTCAACTATCAAGAATATCAAGAAGAGGAATTCAGTTCTTCTGGGTCGGCTCCTCTTTGCAACCGTAGCACTACTAAAAAGCCAAGGTTGAATAGGCCAAGATGGTTGAGATATGACACGTCCAATGAGTCGCAAAGGATCCAACATGGAAGCTGTCTTGGCATGGTTGTGACTGTTTCGTGGCGGAGCAGAACTACGACGATCTTAAGAAAGTGGAAGAACATGGAGGAACATGTTTTCAAATTTTACAGCACAGATTCCTCTCGTTTTTCCCAAAACGGTACAAACATGTATATACAAACGCCATCAAGAGCCAGCTGACCCGAAACCCAAATACGCCTTGGGTCACCATAGTCATAGTTCGTTTCGGCTGTGCTGCCCGTGCTATGCCCGTGCTGTTTGGTTGTCTTACCAAGCGAGCCAAAAGTGTTGGGAAGTGCGACTCAAAGTAATGTGTGAAAAGCTGATCAGCTGATCCACAGTTGGAAAGCTTCTGGACAGCCATCCTCATAGATGGCAATGATCAACCACTGCGAAAGCATGCATGTTGAAGCATGGACATCAACATTTACATAGATAACTTAGATAACCGACATCAGCCAATCTACCAGTCATAAATCTGAATATTGAATAGGAAAGTATGCACCACGTCACTCAATTACATAACTATATAGTAGTAACATGTAGTAACTATGCAGTACTGGCCATGGCTGGGGTGCCCAAACCTCACGTTGGGGCTCAGCCTGGCATCAAGATTGTTGTAAGATGTTGTAAGGATAGCTTGCCATTCTGCGTCCACTGGAAGGATCGAAGGATCTGTAAGGTGTACACTGTACACAGTGTACACATTACACCATGATTCGACCATGATTCGACCATGATTCAAACGTGTCGCAAAAATTCGCAAAATGGAGTTGATTGTTGCCGATTGTTGCTGACTTCCGTCAGTGGTCAAGATTGGCTCCATTCGGCTCCTCTCTGGTGAATCAAACTGATGCCATGTCATGTGAAAGTTCCGTGTATACAACAGCCAGGGATAAACTTTCAAACATTTCAAACCATCATTCAATCTCTCTCCTCTCAACTCCAGGTTATTCACTTCAGAAAATGTTGGATGACTGATGAAGGTCGCCTGCATATACAACAAACTGCTGCTCGCTAAGGCTGGAACCACAGCCTCCGGAGAGCCCCTGAAGTCCAACCAGAGCTCGTGCCTCTGCAACTATGGTACGACAATGACGGGACATGACGGGACATGACGGGACAATGCTCACGGGAAGTGATAAACAATGATACACGGCCCCCCTTGTATGATGCGATATGAATGATATGAATATATGATATGAATCGAATTGAATCGATATGCGTCATTGATGCGTCAGATCATGGGACGCGACCTTTTTGTGAGCGCAGATTTCAGTGCCCTGCGCAAGTCGCCCGAGGAGCCAAACAATCGGGGGAAGGACCGGGAATGCGAGAGTGAGAGCATGCAATGGCAGCAGCCAGCCCAAGTCGCAAGGACAAGGACAGCTGCGAACGGTTCCAAAGTTCTACTTATGCAGCGGGTTCAATCACATATCAACATTGTCGACACTACTCAATACATTTCAAGACTTCGTTGTACATCAAACATGGTTTCAAAAGATTCAAAAAGAATCATCAGTGGACGTCCCGACTTGAGAACTTTGGAAATTGGTACTACAAGGGCAAATGGGCACGGGAAGCTGTGAGCTCCTGTAGAAATGTACATCTTGAAATCAGTTACCCCGCCAGTAGTTGCCACCGCCGCCTCTCCCTTTTGCTTTGCCTTTGCCAGCGCCACCAGCACTGCCTCCCTTGCCACCTTTGGCGCCACCTTTGCCACCTTTGCCACCTTTCCTCTTGGGCCTGTCACTGTCCTCATACTCGCCATGCCACTCGGAATCATCACCTGAGTTTGGACTCTGTTTGGACTCTGGACCATGGACCAACCACCTTGGACCCAACCCCATTTCATCCTCACTCACACCAGCCCAAAATGGCTAATTATCTTGAACCCCCCAGCACACATGAATGAAGTATCGTAAGTATCCAACATGTACAGGTTCAGTACAGGTTCAGTACAGATTATATCTTTCATCAAGTTTTAGAGCTCACTTCACGGAGGTCAACTTCAATATCTTCACATTTCAAACATTTTCAAACACTGTCTCTCCCTACCAGCCCGACTCTTGATAATCTTGATATATCTTGATACGTTTCTTGATCGCAAATATCAGCAATCCTGTGCTTGTACGATGATGTACGATGCAGTTTCGCATAGGAAGCCAAGTGGCCTAAAGCCATGGAGCCTGTTGGAGTTGTAGGCACCTGACCGTTGAAACGAGCGCTGAGCCAATCGTCCATCTTTGGATCCTTGGGAGGATCTCGTCGACCCTTCTTCTTGGCACTGGCTTGGGAGGTTGGCGATCCACCTGCATCATTGGAGGGATGCAGAATGATGCAGAGCTGCCTTTTAACATTCTTAAAAACATCTCATGGGTTACAGTTCCACATGCCTAGAATTGACTTTTGCGGTGAGTGAAGGAAGTGTTTTTGAGAGTCCAAATCTGTCCAACATTGTCCACCTACTATATACAGTAATTCATTATAATTCCAGATATGCATCGCTGCTTCACCCTTCTTCTCAAACTGTGCTATCTGAGGCAATTTGTGGCTCTACAAGAGCCATGCGGCCGGTGAGGCACCTGGGTTGTAGACTGGCGGAGCCTTGCCCTTCCCAGGCGTTGGCATGGGTGACATCGGGACTGCCTCCTGCAGCTTTGGTGATTCCTTCCTCAGATGTCCAACTGCTCGTAACACGAATGGGAATGAGCTCAAGAAGTCTACGCACATTTATGCATGTTCCGTTGATGCAAAAACAGGAGACCACATTCCAACGCGCAAAGACAACCGACCAAACACCCTGTAAGTGAACACTCCAAAAACTGACAGAGTTGGATGGCATACTGCCCTGAAAGAATCTGTTGAATTGATGAAGTGGAGCAATTCTGAAAAGGATTGAAAAGGCATGAAAAAGCCAAGCGTCGGCTGCCATTGATCCTGACGCATGCCACGGTTCTGGCCTTTGCCCGCATTATTGTTGTTGTTCTTTTGGACTTCCACCCACTTCTGCTGCGGCATGTCCTTGCCGCCAGCCTTGCCTCCGGAATCATCGCTGGTCTTGCCATCGGCTTTTCCTTCCTTCTTCCCTTTGTTGCCCTTTCCGAACTTCTGCTGGTTGTCCATGGAAGGCATCTGCCCAATGGCCCACATCTGTGCCATCTCTTGGTCCAAACCTCCTGAGTCTTGGATGTCAGCCCATGGGTTCTTTGGCTTTCTCATGCCCTTTTGTCCATCCTGTGCAGGTGGTGGCGCTGGCTGATTTCCAGCTCCCTTCCCTTGCTCTCCAGGTACTGCAGGAACATCTGACTCAGGCCCCCTCATATCAGATCGCCCTGGGCGGCTTGCACCGCCCCAGCTGGCTCCACCTTGCTTGGGCTGAGTATTGCGTCGCCCTGCTGCCGTGCGGCCAGGACCTCCTTTGGCATCTCCATCCCCGGCCCCTTCAGCACCGTGGCCTTGGCCTTGATCTCCTGGCACAGCTGGTTGGTTCCCATGTCCTTCAGGCATGTGACCTGGCATGTGCGGCATTTGGCCTTGCATACCATGCATGGGCATCTGCCCTTGCATCTGCATACCAGCCATACCGGGTTGCATCTGCCCTGCAGGCCCTCCTGGTACCATGAAAACCTGCATGTTTGGATGGAATTGCTGATGCTGCTGTTGTTGCTGCTGCTGTTGGCCGCAGCTTTGACCATTGGAACCTTGACCAGCGACTCCAGCCATTTGGCCTTGCATCATGTTTTGAGGAATCATCATATTCTGCATGGGCTGGTAGACATAGCCACCACAATTGCCTGCACAAGCACCTTGGGCATTGGCGGTGGGACAGCCACCGCAAGGATTGCCTTGGCAGGGGCAGCCTCCAGCAGCTTGCCCAGCAGCTCCAGCATGAGGCATCATTTGACCGTGTTGAGCAGCTTGCGCCGCTTGCGCGGCTTGACTGTCCATGGAGAAGGGGACCATCGAGCCATCTGGGGACATACCAGGTGACATGCCCTGAGGCATTCCTTGGCCCATCCCCTGGGGCATTGCTTGCATTCCTTGGCCCATTCCTTGTGGCATATGCATCCCTTGGGCCATACCTTGTGCCATGCCCTGCATCCCCATGCCTTGCATTGCATAGCTCGGGTGAGGATGACCTTGAGCTTGGTTACCCATCGGGACTTGTGCAACTTGATTTTGGAGCTGCTCCATGTTGCCAAAGGGCATCTGGGGCATCTGCCCAGGACCGGACATCCCTGGCATACCTTGGAACATCATCTGTCCCTGCTGCTGAAGCATCTCCGGGGAAAAGTGGCCTTCCATGGCTCTTCGACGTCTTGTCGACTACAGCGTCTTCAATTTAAAGTAAAGAAGGTGTCCCACTTTCAAGTGATCTGTTTGAATACCTAAATTTAGCTGTCTTCATTCATTCAAACCAAGCGGATCATTCAATCTGGGAGTGCCTGTGCCAAATATTGCGGCGCGTCACAAACATTTTTCTAGACTCAGCATAGAAGTCACTGATGTGAAAACGCAGACAGGTGTCCAGTTTAGCAGGCATATGCTCCGGTCGCCATTGCTATGCACATAGATGGCACAAACATACTGTAACTGTAAAATGCTTAATAATACCCCATCACTTGCGTCATTTCCAGGCAGCCAAGATGCGTTTGCCCAGAGGAAGCAGTATGATGGCCTTGCCCTTGCATAGAGCACGCAGCTAGCTCTGATTCATTCAGCTTTGGCTTGCCCTGTATACTGTGTTCCACCCGTTTTTTAGTTTTTCTAGCAAAGTTGTTCATCTGCCTGTTGCCATTCCGGACATAAAGCCAGCCAAGTTGGACATTCCTGGTGGTTGTGCCTCAGCGCTTTCAAAGATTCTAGGCAGGAATTCCAGCTGCGATATCTTGCTGCTAAATGCCGCCAGCATTTCGTGTGGATCTCCTTCACTTTCATACTCAGGCGAGGGCAGGCCGCCGATCTTCTGACATGATCGTGTCGTAGGCTTGTTTCATTGCAACCTCAATGCAAGTTTTAATTGCAATGCCCTCACCGAAATGAAAGCAGCGTCCAGACTTTTGTGTTGGGCTTCGCAGCCTTGCTTTGGAAACCTGATAGGAGGATCATGCAGATAGATCATCTAAAGCAGCACGCAAAGATGCTGACTAAAAGCTTGGAACTCGGGTAGAAGCATGCAAATCAGAGCAAATGACATGCTGAAACCTATTATTACTTAATGGATCTTAATGGTGTGGCACATGGCCTAGCAAGACTTCACTAAGTTTAGCACTAAGTTCTGTGAGTTCCTCGCAAAAACTCAGGGCGCCAATGGTGTCAGCAACTCAGACCGAGGGGCAAATCGCATGGCTGTGACTGCCAAATCCTCAGGAGCGCAAAGGTCTGGGTGAAGCTCTCGAGCAAGACGGCCTCACCCCATGCACGCCCTCAAACGGTCAGCTGAAAGCTTAATGCCTTAATGATCCTTAAATAATGCATATAGCACCTGAACACACCTACATAATTGATTGATATCAAATATGTGCATGTGGGTATTTCTTTGCTCGTGTGCCTGCCTGCCTGCCTGCCTGCCTGCCTGCCTCCCTGCCTGCCTCCCTGCCTGCCTGCCTGCCTGTCTGTCTGTCTGTCTGTCTGTCTGTGTCTGTCAATGTGTTGCTCGCCCCTCGCCACAGTGAATTTACATTACAAATGTATACAAATGTGTGGAGAGACAGCCCAAATTGTCCAAATTCAGTGCTTCGTTGCAAGTGGATGCTGGGTCTGGGACGGAAGGCCCGTCGAACCTCCCGAATACTGGCACCCACCTTGATGCTGCTGCACAAACAGCCAAAGAAACATGACACTAAACCAAAACGAACGAAAATGCGGAGTTTGTTGATCACAATTCATACAGACCATTTTGAGACAATGACAACGATGACAATGACAAATATATAACACTAACACAAATCAAACCGGGAACCACGAGGTAAGGTACGAGTATGTAACTAGTTGGCAACCATAAGAACTCATCAACACTCTGCGTGCAAGCCCAGTGATTGTGGATCTCATCATCCATTAAATCCTGAGTCATAGAACTGGCAAACCCAACTCGGCATAGGCCTCTTCGAGCCCTGGCACCAATGGAGTAGAACACATAGGTTTCAACGGCAAATGGCAAGACTTGCATGATATTATTATTGGATATTATTGTCAATTCTGAGGATGAGGTCACTATTTGGTAGGTGACTATTTGGGCTGGGCCTGCGAAGGTGGAAAAATAAGAAAAAATAAGAAAAAATACGAAAAAATAAGAAAAAATAGGAAAAAATAAGAAAAAATAAAAAAAAATAAAAACAAATAATTACACATAAAAACAACTAAAAACACATAAATAAAAATTAAAAAAAATAAGAAAAAATAATAAAAAAATAAGAAAAAATAAAAAACAATCAGAAAAAATAAAAAAAATAAGAAAAAATGAAAAAAAATAAGAAAAAAATAAAAAAAAATAAGAAACAATGAAAAAAAATTAAAAAAAATTAAAAAAAAATCGGGCTCTCCAAGGATTTTTTTTTATTTGTTTTAAATTGTTTTTATTGGTTGCCCTCCCAGTTGGTGCCCTACTAGATAGCGCGCTGGTTCTCACATAAGATATTGGCTCATACATTTTAGACAGTGCCAGTGCAAATATCATGTCACATCATATCACTACTTGTTCAGGGACCGGGATCCAATCGCGACTTATCGCGACTTCTCCCTCTCTTTTTGACCCGAGCCGTTTAACGGTCGGCTGGCCATTTTGGCCATGGAGCTGGCGCCGGCATCAACGAATGCCATCAGCTCTCAGTCCTCAGCCGTCCTCAGCCGTCCTCAGCCGTCCTCAGCCGTCCTCAGCCGTCCTCAGCCGCCTTTCGCAACTCTGCCTTCAGTTCCTCCGGCCGAAGTGTGGTCTTCCACCGCAAATGCTGTGGACCCTCCGCAAGTTGCTCGCAGAAGACCAGGGGTTCGTGAATGGCCTACGAGCCAAAATGAATCAAATGCGTCGATGGTTCTGGTAACATCAAAACAATCCAGTGGCAAATATGGCTGAACCTTAAAGAGTCCCGGCCTTGTTTCTTATGACTTATGTTTACTTCCAAGACTAGTAGCTCAGTCCTTCCAGATTGACACAAGAGAAAAACACCCTGCAGCGTTGAGCTCAGAAAACGCGGTCGAAGGCACTGGCTTCAAATCGAAGGCTGGGTCCATCTCAAACCTTGGCAAGAAGGATCGGTAGTTTGTACATCTAGTCATTCAAACGGATGAAGCATACAGTAGTAAGATGTATATAGTAAGATAGCAAGATGCACAAAGAAAAACAGAAGTCATGAATCATGAAACAATATGAAACTTCATGAAACCATCTCGTGGCACATCGTGAAGCTTTATCATCGATGTCCAAAGACTGGAGGTGATGAGAAGTGAATCTTCGCCCAGTCACATCATCTCTACGGCTTCCTCCCATGTGTTCCCTGAAAGCAGGAGAGGAAAATTGAGCCAAACTGCAAAGGTAACCTTTGACTTGACCCGTGGAATCCCATGGATGTCAGAGCTTTGCCTAGTGACCAATGGAGTGTAAGATCTTGATGAGTTGCACCAGATCCCCAGCGCTTGGACAATGTGAGCATTGTTTGTGCTTTGGGTCCCATATCGCCATATGGTCCCATGGACATTGCGGAACATACCTTTCGCTTGGGATCAGGTTCCATAGTCGTACAGTAATGGAACACGCAAAAATATGTTCAACATCGACAAAACCCACTCCTTGTGTATCCAAAGCCAGCTCGATGTGTGGGCGCAAACGGGCGATGAACCACCATCTGGCACAGGCAAACACCAGGCAGCGAGAAAAACAACGCCGAAATAGCTGCTAAAAGAACGTCTCAAATGCAGCAGTTGCTATTTGCTGCGATGCTGCGTGCGAGATCTGAAGGCAACATGCTGCCGACAATCTTCAAACATTATTGCCTCGCTGCTTCCACAGAATGTTACGCATATAAATATATATATATAAGTATATAGTATATATAACTAGAATGATATAGATATAGATATATATATATAGATCTGACAACACAAAGCAGCATCAGCTGAAATTCAAATCTAGGCCCCTAGCAACAGACAGGCGATTCCAGTCCAAATAGGGTCTAAGTTCAAATTTAAGTCTCTACACATATACAGAAAGGTCCCACGTGGAGAGGGTGAAATTTGAATTTAAACCCAATTTGGATTCGAAAATCAAGCCTATTCATATCTATTCATATAATTAGATTTTGCTTATCAGGAGGAGGCTCATTCACCCGGTAAGAACCCGCAGTTCGTGCAGATCCTACCGCCGAAAGTCTTTATGCTTTCCAACTTTGTGTCACACAACTTGTCATTTTGTCTACGTCGTGTCTACGTCTCATTAGTCTCATTCCCAGCTCAAAATGCTCAAATTCATGGCACCTGCCAGGTGGATCTGCTGGATAGATCTCGAGGAGCTGAAGAAAACGGTAGAGGCTCTGAGACTCAGCGATGACGATGCGATTTTTAGGTCGGCTCAGGACCCGACAAGCCCGCGACGAGGATTTATAACAGTTTTTAATGATATTGATATATATATATAATATTATATAATGATGTTTAATCATAATTATATTCCAATCATAATTAATCCATTGTACCAGTAAGATACAGTAACATGTTGGAACCACTAGTAACCCAAATATTACTTACTGTATCAAGCTGTGCCATGCAGTGGCATTGTTTTGGATGATTCTGGCACAGAACCCAACACTGGCCGTTTTTGTCTCAGAGGCTGACTGCTTGGTGAAGCTCCATAGGATCCAACACCTGCGCAGCTCAGCAGGTAGCTTGTGTCTATCTACATCGAAACCTGTTTGATATGATCCAAATTGATGCAATCCACCTAGCTCTCTTTTTTGTCTCTCTCTCTCTCTCTCTCTCTCGCTCTTTCCCTTGCTCACTCTCTTTCTTTCTCTGTCGCTCTCCCACTGCTATGAAACAGCAGCATCGTCTGCAAACAAGATTCAATCTTCGGGAACAATAAAAAATGCAAAAAATGCATATTTTTCAACATATATTCATCGTATTCATATTCAACAGCTGGATGACCTGGCCAATGGAACCAACTGTGCCTGCAAGGACTTCACAAAGTCCTCCATGTGAGAGACAAGATGAGACAAATCAACATTTTTTGCATAGCAATCCGTAGCAATCCTTGCAAGATTGCCCACTGTCCACGGCCGCTCCTCCCACATGACGCCAGGCACAAGCTCTGTCAGTTTGGGCTCCATCTTTGGCCTCAACCGCAAGAAGCTGTAGAGAACTGCCGGTGGCCATTCCTTCGGAAGCTGTGGGCTCGCTCAGTGGACTCCGCATCGGTCTTCGCACTACAATCACAGTGTCTCTGTAGCCGCTGTAGCCTATTTCATATCAGCCTTGACAACCACATCCCGGTAAGCATTGGTAAACCGATAGCTATAGCTCTTCGGCTTCAACTACCATCTTTGCAACTTGTCAGGTACGAACGGGTGAACGCGGTAAAGTGGATTTGAGTCCTGCTGCGCGTTCGACATCTTCCACATCAGCAAGTCAGGCGCTTCCCTTGCATTTTGCAGCTCTTTCAACGTCTCCACCTGAATCTGCACACATTCCAAGAGCGCCAAAAATGCAAAGCCAGTGAAACAGTGCGGTTGAAGGATGTTGAAGGTCTATTTATGAGTCCTAGCTGCTATAGCTACAGGAGTACCTCGAGGCCTTCCTTGTGACTTGAAGGGTGTGCAGTTGAGATATCAAACCACTGGGCTGCCGGTATAACCGGTATATCATGTGCCCGCCACGGATTGGCCTTGTGAAGTGCTGGAACAACATCGGCCCAAGGAAGTCCAACAGGCAAAACCCGCGAGAATGGCCGACCTGCAGCAGAAACGAAACAACTTGTAGGCCCTCCAAGGCTATATCTGATATATATATATATTGAATTATATTGATATATGTCAAATCAAATCTGATTCAAATGCATTCCTGTCTGGCAATGCTATTAGCTCCAACAAACTACTGTCTCCACTTCAACTTCCCGCCAGTCAGCTTTAGGACTAATGATATGCTATGACCTGCTATGAATTCTGCTGCTTTGTTTCCACCTGGAAGCTGTCACCGTTCCTGTGGCAGGATTTCTTGAAGTCCATCCCCCAGCAAAGTCACATGGCATTTAGAGTTGAGGATGGATCAATTAAACATTGGCACCCGCGGTTACTGCAGTCTGAGCTGCGAAGTTTAGCGATGGCCAGCAGTTGAGCTGTTTCGCCACGGGTCTGCGGGCTGTGAGAAAGCGAGCCGTGCAGTCATGAGCAATCGATGCAGCACATCAAGAAAGATGGCGCTTGTATGTGTCATGGCTTTGCGGCAAAAGGTGCGCATAACGTCGGAAGATGCAAGTTGCTCTAGAAAAACATGCGAAAATACATTTTAAAAAAACAACATGAAAATACAAGATCATATAATACATCAAGATATTGCAAGATCCTGGCGTCTGGGGGCCTTGTTGTTGATAGTTTCCAGGAAGCGCTTACCGTTCTCTTGCGCTTGTAGCAGCTCCTTGCGACTGCAGCTCCTGACATAGCTGCTTTGGAGCAACCAGGGATGTGCCATGCCGTGGTCATGCAGAAATTACGCGGAAAAATATTGAATATATAAATTAATATATATATATATATATAATATAACATAAAATGGTCTCCTGGCGCGAGACAGCACTGCAAAATGGCTAAAATAGTGCGGAAGATCGATATAACCTTTCATAATGCAATCTGCAATCACACCGCCTGTGTCATGACAGTGATCTGGCACCATATATAGTGCCTTTAGTATCTTGAGTGGTTTACTTGTGGTGAATGGCACCTGTGGATCCTGTGGACTTGCACTATGCCTAGATATGACAAGCCTCTTCATATTCTTCATATTTTTCACATTGCTTGATTCTTCTTCATACTTCATTCATACTGATCATACTGCACTTGGACCAAGGGGCTTGAGGACAGGAACCATCTCGTCCCACCACAGGTCTTGCTCAGCTGCAAGGGGCTCTAAGCGGAAGCGCAAAGTTGCAATGACCCACCTGGTCTGGATAGCCAATGATCAACGATGATCAAACGAAAGCAAGTCATGCCTGAACCTTGTTCCATGATGTTCGACGAACTGTTGAAACCTATTGAACTGGTTACAGTATGTTACAGTAACCTGCTGAACCTGTATCTTGCATCCGCGTTGCCACGGGTGCGCTGCAAGGGCACCCGTTTATTTCCAGCCGCTCCAGTCTAATTGAGCGAGCCACTCTCGTCCCATATCATCTTGCCGCTTGTTGAGCGAATCAATAAAGGCCTTGCAGAAGTAAAGAGTGATTCAATGATTCTGCCTGTGTTTTTGAAGCAAAGCAAGACATGGCAAGACTATACAAGATCTGACACTGCTGTCATCTTCCCGGTCCTTAGGATCATCAACGGCCCCCTGGAGCTCTGCCAGCGAATTCATCTTTCTCAAGACAAAGCGTGCATCTTCCCAAGATGTCTGGGCAGCAAACGACGCCCACAATGCAAGGATGGATTAAAAGCATCCGAGGTTCACAACAAGCAGTTGAACAAGATCTGAGACAGCGAGGTATTAGAATGGTTCGGACACTTACCATCATTTGTCTGCAAAGTGCATCCATATCGCTGCAAATGCCAGTAAGACTAGTTGTTCTTGTTGTTGTTTCTATTCTTGTTGTTTTCCTTTGTGCTGCGCGACCATCTCCGTCATGCCTTTGTCTCCTTCAAGAGAGGCTCCACAAACATGCGGATTCGAGCCAGTGCCATCTTCAGTGCCTCAAGGCCACTTGTTTGGGACAGGAGTGGCACACGACTCAAATGATGTCTTATCAAGTCTCTCTTTTCCAAAGATTCTAACAGAAATTCTAACATGTTCAAAAAAGTTCAGGAAAAGCTACCCCAGAATCTCTGTGGGTATTGGTCATGGCTTCTTCGTCTCCCATGAGCTACAGTACAGTTCGTGGACGGATAGAGTGCTCCAGAGTGGTCCTAACTGTCCCAGATCATCACAAAACATGGCTGAAAAGTGGTGAACTTACTACCCAATCTGAAAATGGCATAAAATGCCATCATTAGCCAGGATGCCATGGGCCTAGGGCGCTCAGACAGCATCTCCAGCAAGCATGGCCTGCGTTCTTGACCGAAGGCCATCATCCGATGGTCGTCCCTGGCAATGCAAACAGACCGGGAAAGTTCAGAGACATCTTCTCTAAACATCTCTAAACCAGTGAAGTCCGTATGATGATTATGATGATATGATGGGCCTCACAATAGGCAGCACATGATGGATGGCATCAGGGTTCTGCCCCAGGGCAGCCAGCACTGTTTCGGTCTTCTCTCGTAACCTCTGGCAGCAAGCGCCACACATGCAAACCCCAAGAATCTCTGCAATGAAATGCATTTCGGCCACTTAGATCCACTTGGGTGATTGAGAATGATGGAAATGCAACTGGAACTATGAGATCATTGCAAGGAGTGAAGAGCGACCTTGGGCTGGCATATTCCAAAGCAAGGCCATTCTGCGAGACCGCAGCCTGCACTACCTCTTCCTCGGCTCCGGAGTTCAGGCATTTTTGCTCTGATCAGATATCAGCGGCATGAGAACTCTGGGGTCTGAAAAAACATGGTCCAAGAACTATGGGCCTCCATCAGCTTCCCAAGAACTATGGGCATGCATCAACTTCCCAACCTCTTTAACTACTTAGCTAGTATTCGTTAGTTGAATTTACCCTGTTATATGAATTATTTGTTTTATTTCCAATATGGCAGTACCAATTCAGTCAGCTTCACATGCTGCTCAAAGAGTCATGGTTGCGCATCTCTTCAGGCGCGAAGACCAAAACCATGCCATCGTGTGACACGGCTGTGCAAACAACGTCCTGCAAAGAACGACAAATCTGAATTGCATCATTCAAGGTTATTAAGTCACAGTTCCATAATGTCGAAGTATACATTTGTCATGCTGAATACATTTTCCTCCACAACATATGACGGCAGCATGTGACGAGCGTTTCTGAAAATTATGTGTTCCCTCTGAACTTTTTAGTAACGCAAAACTATCTGGCGATATCTGATTAGCTGACCCACTTGGCAGCCCGGACCAAATATCAGCGCATTACATTCACTTCCAAATGATGGTCGCTGAGCAGTAATTTCTCCTTGTCGTGGATCTGGTCTTCCAAGGCATGGGCAAGAGCCCTTGGATGGTTACCTGGAAACCGGGCTCTGCTGCGGAACATTTTTTTCCTTCTGCCCTGCGGATCCCCTGAGGCATGTAGGAGTGAAACATTTGAACAAATGCTGCTCCCACCATTTCGAGGTCAACCCAAACCAAGAATCCACTGTGTGGGCAACAATATGGGCCCTCAAGATTTAAAAGTTCACGGGCCTTCACAACACTGTAGGACATGTTTGGGCAACTTAGAGGCCACCAATGAGATCACATGTAGTTGGTACTGCTTTGATTTTCCTTCAACCTGGGGCTTTCAGTGCGCAACTACCATGGGCACAAGGTGTGCCATTGAATGCGAACGAAACAATCTGCCGGATGGATTGCCAAAAACATGAGGTGTTGACGCGCCATATCGCACCATTACAAATCTATACGGTGTAACAGTTCTTCAGACACAAGCAGGGGGTGGAAGTTTCAAAAATGTAAAGCCGTAAAAATAGAATAGAGAGTAAGAAAAAGAGAGAGAGAGAGAGAGAAAAAAAAAAAATATATATATATATATATACATCTATGTTTATGATTATTGTGATTATATATGCGTGTGTGATCGTGTGTGCACATATATCCTGCTGTAATCTATTGTATATGTTTGAAACAAGATGTGCCTATAGGATATCATACGGCGCCAGGCGTGTTGCAGAAACATTTTTTTGGCGCCAGTCGCCAGTCATCTGACGTCTCTTGCTCTTGGCATCTCTTTTCTCTTGGCATCTCTTGCTTTTGGCCTCTTTTTCCTGAGATGCCCTTCTCATCTCATCTCACCTCATCTCATCCCATGTCTTCCCACCTCATCTGATCTCATCTCGTCTCATCTCACCTGATGTTTTCTCGTCTCGTCTCGTCTCGTCTCTTCTCTCTTCTGTTTCAGATCGCCTTAACTTTTCTCAGCTCATGTCTTCTCATGTCTGCTCTCCTTTTCTCATCTTGTCTCCGCAGCTCTTCTCCCAGTTTTGTCGAGGTGTCTTTCTCTTCCCAGAACCGCTGCAGCAGCTCCGTTTTTCGACGTCCGAAGGCAAGAGCAGAGTCTCGTCTACACGGTCGGCTAGACGACTCAACTCTACACAGCTCGTCTCAACTCAGCTCTTCACCGCTCTTCTCAAGTCGTCTCAGCTCATCTCAAGTCTTTTCATCTCTTATCATCTACTAGCAGCCAATCTCAGTTCTTCTCAACGCATCCCTCCTCATCCCAGCGCTTCTCAACTCGTCTCGGCTCCTTTCAGCTCTTCCTCAGTTTCAATGATGATAATAATTAAATTGATGTTCAACTGTTTAACCGCCCCAAAGGAAAAACAGCAAAACAAGACTAAACAAGAGAACCTGACCGAAGGGCAGCGGCTGAAGGCTGTTTCGACATCTTGAGCCAAAGTCAAATGCCCATCGATTGAACCTGAAAGGGAAGGATGTCTATATAAACATGGAAGTAGGGTTAGGGTTATCCCTAAACTTTCAAGTCCCCCTGATACCGAGCTGTACGGTTCAATCAATTAAGCTACCGGGCGAAGGTGGCCAGCCTAAGGACGGATGCTTAGAAGGGATGTCTCCTGGCTCAGACGGATTACAGGCAAGAGATGAGAAGAATCATTTAGAGACCCCATCAGGCCTGGCAATTCCATGCACAACTGTTCAACTGTGCCGTGCAGTTAATTACCGATGCTTGAAGCCCATCCGGATCCAAATGGAGCCTTAGCAGCTAAACTCCCGATCTCGGCGGATGACGGTAGAAAAGACAGTGAAAGTCCAAAAAGTTTTGTGGATGGAGTTTCATCACAACCTCAACTGTGCGCTTAGCGACTTGCAATGAACTTCAACTTCAGTCGGTGGGAGAAAATCCAAGGAAATGACAAAGCAAAAGCCAAAGGATAAACAAAAACATAGATGGGACTTAGTCACATCCATGACGGATGACTGGTTTGAAAGATCTTTCTGAGTAAAACCTTGGGAGCTAGGTAATGAACTTCATATTGAGCAACATCAAAGCACTAGACCACTTCTGGGGGGCGAGACCCTTTGTCATGATATCACTGCGTTGATCCTCTGATGGAACATGCTGGATCAACACGTCGTCGCTGCTGCTCGCAACCTCACAGGTGGAAGCGGCATTCACACGATGTGCCGTCGCAAGGTGACGAAGCTTCTGGGAAGAACCCGTAGAGATGACGGCTATTACGGCCGAATTATCCTCCAAGATTCTTAGATTCATAGGGGGGTGAATGACTTGCCAGGTTCAACCGCACCTGGAACTCCAGGAATAACAGTAAATTAAATTGGTTTTGGAAGAAAGGCACATGTTGATGAACTCTTGAAGTATAAAACTTGTTACCTTCGTTGCATTTGATCTCACAGGCCGATGGGTTCCGAACAAGGTATGGCAAATATCCAGGAAACCACACAAATCCCAAACCGTTCTGCTCAACATCAAGACCGATTGAACGACCCATGGGGCATGAATCCAAAAGGAAATGATTGGCGTATCCTAAGAAGCCGGACAGACTCCCTGGATGGCTTCAAACAAAGGGTTCAACTGAGGGGTGATGTCAACACTCGGCATCCTCGGCGCCTCTGGCTCACGGTACACGGCTGAGGGAGTGGCGATCAGAGCAGCCAGTCTCTCCTCAAGCCGGGCATTCGCTGACTGGAGACTTGAACTTCAGACGTTAACCGGATGATTTCAACATCCTTATGACCAAAAAGGTTATGGACCTGGGACTTCTCTGATTCCATCTCGGTGGCAAAAACTCTGTTCTAGCGAGCTTGATCGCTCAACTGAACCTTATGATGTTCTATCTGCTCTGCCAACATCCGATTTTGATGGATTTGCTCTTGAAGCTTCACCTTAATTAATGGTTTGGACCTCTTCGGTCAGAAGCTGCGAACTGGAAGCTTGATTGCAATAATTGGATTGGTACAATTTTTCTGCCACATTGACCAACTCTTGAATGCGAACGCAGGCTTGTTTGTAAACATCCTGGGCCAACTGTTCCAAACCCTGAGCTCTATCTTCTGATTCCTGAACCATCTTGTGAGCTTCGGACACCATACCAGCAAAAACCATGGGATCAATTCCGAATCATCACCCTGTTGAGGGGGAGGGGGGGTCTAAATGAAATATTTCATTTGTGGATACCCCCCCACCTATACATATACAATCAAAATCACCCCCTCCAAAGACAAGAGGCTAAAATTTATGGATATCGTGTTATGTATGCGTATATCATCCGAATATACATATATAAATATGGTATTATATGATTTTATATGATAATATATGATAATATATGATAATATATGATAATATATGATAATATATAATATTTTATAATAATAAATGATAATATATGATAATATATGATAATATATGATAATATATGATAATATATGATAATATATGATAATATATGATAATATATGATAATATATGATAATATATGTATACCCGGATCCCCCGCAGACCAGAAATTTGGTCTGGAGTGATTCAGTCTACTAATCAGACTGATTCCAGAAATCTCGCCTGAGGTGATTTTTTTCGGCTGAGGTGGCTTTGCTCAATTTTCACCAAAACATTCAACAACATATATTAGTGATAAGAAATAACACATGAGAACTTCAGGTTTTTGTCCAGAGGGGGGGCATCCCTTGAAATTTCATTTATTGTGTTTCATTTTTTTCCATTGATAAGAGGTTTCAATCTGATTTAGCGGGCCGCCCAAAGCCATTTTGGATCATGAGCCGGCCGCGTCAGTGCTGTAGCTGAAGCCTCCCCCTGCCCTGTTGCAGCTCCACCTCGCACCGCCACGGCCTTCCTGAGGCGAGATCATCCCCTGCACATGCGCAGGATTGGATGCCATTGGATGAAATGGATGAAAAGATGGATGGAAAAATGAATAAAACTCCTTATCACCATCTTGCTGATACACAAAATGAAATGCATCACCCAAGAGCAGTGGCAACATAGGGGGTATTTAAGTTGCATGACACATCTGCGAAATGTCTGGATTTGATATGATATTTATTTTATTTATAAAGGCTTTATCTGGATTGTTAAGGGGATTTGATATGGGATTCTAGGGATTTAGTGAGTCATTAAATCTCTATTGTCAAACCCAGCCCATTTCCATATGGAGGTTTCCTAAAATACAGTACCCCAAAAAAAAAACATCCCATTTATAGATGGATTTCCCATGACATAAACCATCCAGCTATGGGGGTACCCATGACTTAGGAAACCTCCCATATATGTTTTGGTTTTGATCCATCCAGAAGGGGTTAACCAATGACGGATTTTGCATCACCTTTGGCATTCACCGGCGTCCACTTGAGCTCACTTTTTCATGGCTAGTTGGCCCCTTGGTAGCCTCTGGGATTGAATGACTCATCTATGGCTCTGCCAGCTGTCGTGGTGCTTCAGTTCATCCATGTCCGTTGTTTCATCAAAAAACACACAAATTCCCTGGGTTTTGCCGAAAGCTCCACTCCAAAATTATCCAAACATCTCCATCAGTTGGAAGCCTTTTGGCAAAGTTCGTTGGAACAACTGGGGCTGTCTGAAAATTGAAGGGAACGTCCCCAACTTTGATGGGTTGAGCATCAGTTTCCCTCTGGGTTGAGTGGCCAAACATTGGGGCATTTTCCCCAAGTCATTTCATCCCTGGCGCGTCAGGCAGTAGTGCCGAAGCCGTTGAATTAGCCCCTGCGGAAGAGAATTGACATCTCCGATGTGGGCCCTCCAGAGGAGGCTGATGGTTGGGATATGTTGGGATTTTCTCATGTCATGGGGTTATAAAAACATACTGAAGGAATCTGAAATATATTGAAATACAAAGTATGCATAGACCGTCTCAAAGCTGTTGTTCCTTCTTGTGTCGTATCATGTACACACCAATTCAGCTTTTGCCAGCGGAATGCCGCAGCTCACACTCCGCCAAGTCGCAGGCATCCTCGAGTTCAAAGAGACTGGAGTACAAATATGTCATTCGGCGCCCTCCTGGTGTCAAGCCTCCCACCCGCACTGGTTGGACTGTGTCAGGGACAAGCGCAGAAATTTGGGCGAATCTTTGGGCATCCAGTTTGGAGCCCCTTTTTGAAGTTTCTCAGGGCCATTTGGGGCAGGTGAAATCCAAAACACGCATGGTTTGTGCTGCTTTCCAGGTTTCAAGCTGTGTACATTTCTGCGGTAGATTCTTATCACGGCCAAGCCGCAGGAGGAGGGGCCTGAGATTCTGGAGCATAGTCAGGCCGCAGCCGCATGTGAAAATCTGGGGAAACCACGGGAAAACCAGAACATCCCATGGTTATTCCATGGTTTGGAAAGCAACTTCCTCACTAAAATGGCGAATGGAGAGTAAATCCACGAGTGTTTTTTTACAAAGAAACACCATGCAGAAACCATATAATTCAGTAGTCTTTGTATAGGGGATTGGAAATGTATTAGGAACAGTGACTACTAGACTGAATCTCGAGATAACTTCAAGTTCAATTTTTATATTCTTTGATATTCTTTTATAATTTTGATTTCGGTTCCGGATTCGGGCCCCGCATTCGGGTCCCGGATTCGGGTTCCGGTCCCGGGTTCGGGTCCCGGATTCAAGCCCCGGTGTGTGAGGAAGGTGGTTCATTTACTGAATGAATCAGTAGGGAAGTTTGGTAGGCAGATGTAGGCAGGTAGGTAGGACCTAGGGGCGCAAGGAATGGCAGGAGATGGTATCAATGCATCAATTGGTATTGCAATGTATTGCAAACATGTAGCCGTGGGAAAATGAAGATGTCTTTCATTAACGTTTGATCCTTTCCTTTCTCTTCGATGGGGGTCCGCAGCATGATATTATATTTGCGGCAAACTCGAGTAGGTGATTCTATCATCGGTTCTTAACCTATTTTCCTCTGCCACAGTCAAATTGAATATGCCGTGGCCATGGGGATTTAGTAAATTTAGTAAATGCAATGCTTACGTGCACTACGTAATTGAACACATAGGAACAGATGCAAACAAACAATATTTCCCGAGTCTTTGTTAAATATGTTAACGTGGGATTTATTGTGTGGCCACAGGGATTTAGTAGGTGCAACGCTCAGAAGCGTTATTTTGTCAGCAGTTGAAAGCATAGGAACGCATGGAAGGAAACACTGTTTTCCAAGCGCGCAGCATCACCGGAACCTTACTTTACGCCGCACCAGAGGCAGAAGAGTGTGCTGTACCACTGTACCAGACATTGGCCAATCATTTTGAGGTCGAATCTATCCTAATCAATAGCTTCGTTTTCACGCTTGCAGATAAATAGATAGATAGATAGATAGATAGATAGATAGACAACTACAACTACAACTACAACTGCCACTACAACTACAACTACCACTACAACTACATCACACTACACTACGCAGGTATGACTCTCGGATGCCGAATCCACTGCTGCTGAGTGCGACAAGAGATTTCAAGCCCAGCTCCATGAGTCTTGGCGAAGGTGCCACGCGTCCTGTAGCTCCACGTTCTACCATCCAGAACTTGGGGGTTGATAATACCTTATTCAGGGCCATTTAACACCAGGTTTAACTTCATCCGAGTTCGTGTTCGTTCATTTATGTTCATCATTGTTCATCGATGGCCGCTTCCTTTTCCAACTGCACGGCTTGGAGGGTTGTGGGAACAGGCAACCAGATTTGGCACGATTTGGCAATTTTTGTAATTTTTCGCGTTTAAAACTTGTGAATTTGTTGAGCCGTCTTGGGGACCGTTTTCTGCGGATTGCATGGTATGATATGGTATGCACATGTATGATATTGTATGATACAAACCTCCTCTCCTGCACCTCTCCTGCACCTCTCCTGCACCTCTCCTGCACCTCTCCTGCACCTCTCCTGCACCCCTCCTGCACCTCTCCTGACCCCTGCTGCGCCTCTCTTCCCTGCACCTCACCAGCAGAAGTTAGAAGGCTTTCCGGAAGACACTTCAAACCATTTCAAAACAAACGCGAAGCTATGCAAAGCTTTTTTGTGCTTTTATATAGAGCTATCAGATGTGACTACATGTTGGGCTTGCATGGCACCTCTCCTGACCTCTCCTGCACCTCTCCTGCACCTCTCCTGACCTCTCCTGCACCCCTCCTGCACCTCTCCTGCCCCCTGCTGCGCCTCTCTTCCCTGCACCTCTCCAGCAGAAGTTAGACACTTCAAACCATTTCAAAACAAATGAAGCTATGCAAAGCTTTTATGTGCTTTTATGTAAAGCTATCAGATATGATTACGTGTTGGGCTTGCATGGCACCTCTCCTGACCTCTCCTGCACCTCTCCTGCACCCCTCCTGCACCTCTCCTGACCTCTCCTGCACCCCTCCTGCACCTCTCCTGACCCCTGCTGCGCCTCTCTTCCCTGCACCTCTCCAGCAGAAGTTAGAAAGCTTTCCGAAAGACACTTCAAACCATTTCAAAACAAATGCGAAGCTATGCAAAGCGTTTTTGTGCTTTTATATAAGCTATCAGATGTGATTACGTGTTGGGCTTGCATGGCACCTCTCCTGACCTCTCCTGCACCTCTCCTGACCTCATGCACCCCTCCTGCACCTCTCCTGACCCCTGCTGCACCTTTCTTTGCTGCACCTCTCCAGCAGAAGTTAGAAGGCGCAGCTTTTGACACCAAATCATTCTGTGGGAAGACTATGGAATACTACGGAATAGTGAGTTCATCATAGTTCATCCATTTGGCGTATATGCAGGAAGTTTGCAACTTTCATAGGGCGTCAATCATTTCACCAGCCGGGACTAAAAGAGATTTGATATGATTTGATATTATATTGTTTATAAGTGTATTTAATTGTTGTTAGACTGTCCAGCGACATTATGTCACTCAAGCTTTCTGAAGTTCGTGCATCATGAAACGGTGATGAGATTGATAGCTTTTAAATGCTTTATCGCCATAGAAGCCAGAACTTTTGCAATTTGCATTTAATTCAGAAGATTGAGTTGATTTGGAAACATCAGATGATGTTGAGGCTGAGAAAGAGGTGGTCCTAGCTTCCTTTGCTTGTGGGGAGATGGACGTTGACA